AAAGGATAGTAATATTGTGGACTGCAAAAGAAAGCCTGTAGATGGGGCTCATTTTTCAATCCAGCTGGAGGAATACAGTAATTACAAATTTCAACTTCACTTGCAGCTCCTTGAGTCCCTGGAACTCAGTTCTTGAAAAAAATATTGGACTTTAAAGGGGGATATGACTATGGAGGTGCTGTTTTCATTATCTGATGTTGGCTTGGTTTTTAAAATATTTTTCAGATTTTAGACTTTTTAGAAGACGGAATAAGCTGTGTTATGAAGGCCTCAGTACTGCTCACTGGCCAGGAAAGTTTTCTCCTCCTACAGAGAATTACAGGGAAACAGATGTGAGGAAAAACTGATTCTGCTTTACTCAAGGTGTTACTTACAGCAAAACCAACACTGAGTGGCTGGAAATGTAACTAATAAGTTAAACATCCTGAGGATAATATTGCAATGCATTTCTCTTCAAGCACATCCATTCTCTGCCCAGATCTAATCCCTTTTTAGACAGAAAGGGCACTGAAAATGCTGGAGCATGCTCAGGTCAGAGGGCTGTGAACTCCTGTGAAAAAGTCATGACATGGAGAGCATCCAGAACTGCAGCACCAGTAATGTCCCAGAGAAGGAGCTGTTCCACAAGCGCAGAATCACCATAAGCATTAATATTAACCGGAGGGCTGCAGTTGCCTTTCAAGCAGCATGGAATAACATAAGAGACTGTTAATTGTTGTGAGGCAGGAAAGTAGTAACAAACACTGTGGGCTTCCTAAAGGAAGGAGTGCCAGCAGTGCTGGGCTTGTGGTTTCACTGTCACAAGTAATCATGGGGACAAGCTTCCAGAAACAAAATACAAGCTTCCACTTTGATGCATTACTGTGCAGCTATGAAAGGGATTGGCACCTTTGCTGGAAGCCATAACATGGGAATTTGATGAAACCAGGATCCAGTGACCAATTCTTGGTCAATTCCCATGTGATAAAACTCCTTGCACACCACCCTTGCTCCCATGAAGATCAAGAAGGAATCCCAGTTTGTCTGCCAAGAATATAGCCTTGCATGACTAACAGAGGGGAGTATCAAGACGGGCAAGGGTTTCCTTCCAATACAAACTCTGCCAAACACAAAACAGGCTGTTGAGCAGGTATCAGCCTTCTCTTGAGCAATGATTTTGCATTGCTGGTAGGCTTGGTAATTAAAATCAAGCACAAGCCAAGGAACAGCTCAAGGGAAAGTTCAGCGATGCTCAGGACAAAATTATCTATATTCTTTGAAAGGGTGGAAAAATTAGTGCAAACGAAAATACCTTATTTATAATTTCTTGATTGCTCAAATCCTTTGGTTCCTCTGGAATTGTCACAAGGAACTTAGAGACATCCACAACCTCACAATGAGTTGGAAGTCGTCCAATGGAGGGTACAAATGTGAAGGTCAGTGGTTTGGCTCCAGATTCTTGAGAAGTCACCTAAAAAATGTATAATTAGTTCAACTTTTTTATCTAAATAAAGATAATTTTAGTCAGAGTTGAAATAACATGAATTAATTTATCTACTTAACTTACAATCATATTATTAACTATACCAGTCATTCTGGTTTTTATTGGGTCACATCATATTTTTTTATATATATACATATATACACACATATATATATCTGAGACTGAAGACCTTAGGCCCACTGTAGGAGAGAATCAGGTTCAAGATCATCTTAAGAACCTGAATGTGCACAAGTCCATTGGACCTGATGAAATCCATCCATGAGTCCTGAAGGAGCTGGTGAATGAAGTTGCTAAGTCACTGTCCATCATATTTGAAAAATCATGGCAGTCAGGTGAAGTTCCAGATGACTGGAAGAAGGGTAATATAACCCCCATTTTCAAGAAGGGGAAGGTGGAAGACCTGGGGAGCTACAGACCAGTCAGTATCACCTCTGTGCCCAGCAAAATCTTGGAGCAGATTCTCCTGGAAACCATGCACATGAAAAAACAACGAAGTGGTTGGTGATAGGGGCTTGAGCACCTCCCGTATGAAGACAGGCTGAGAAAGCTGGGGCTGTTCAGCTTGGAGAAGAGAAGGCTGCGTGGAGACCTTATAGCAGCCTTCCAGTATCTGAAGGGGGCCTACAAGGATGCTGGGGAGGGACTCTTCATTAGGGACTGTGGCAATAGGACAAAGGATAATGGATTCAATCTTAAACAGAGGAAGTTTAGATTAGATATAAGGAAGAAGTTCTTCACAGTGAGGGTGGTGAGGCACTGGAATGGGTTACCCAAGGAAGCTGTGAATGCTCCATCCCTGGCAGTGTTCAAGGCCAGGCTGGACAGAGCCTTGGGCAACATAGTTTAGTGTGTGGTGTCCCTGCTCATGACAGGGGGGTTGGAACTAGATGATCTTAAGGTCCCTTCCTACCCTAACTATTCTATGATTCTACGATATTAAGGTCTTGTTACCAGGCAGAATATTGTCTCGATTATGCCAAACAACATCCTATATACCTTAGTTGCATGGCACAGCAGACAGGAGAAAATTTATTCAATAATTTGTTATTCTTTCAATATTCCATACCAGAATCAAAAAAACATATTCAATTCATTTCAAGGCTGTTTTTATCTTTGTTTAATTCTACTTCAGTAGAACAACAATGTAATTATACTACCGTATCTGGACATACTACAGCATCTAGATTATTTGCTTAACAACTTATAACTAATTGGAAAAACCTTTGCTGTGCAAAAAGAAAGCAAAACAAGTTTACATTTTCCAATGCAAATGCAGCTAATTCTGAACAACATCTGTGATGAATTCTGATTCAAGGAAAGTATCTTTCCCTGATTTCCTTAGGTCATCCAGCCACATGCACCAACTAATTGTGTGTCTGTCTGGCCGTTTCTCCTTCCCCACTTAGCATTCTTGCTAGGACTGTGTACATAGAGCCTGAATGCACTGAAAAAAGAGACTAAGAAAAGGCAGTTTCACCTAAATGTTCAATTTTATCACAGTGCTCTCCCATCTATTCCAATTCCTTCACAGGAGATACTGAACAGGAAAAAGAAGTCCACACCATGGTAAACCTCTCAGTTGCTTTGTCAGATATCAGGGAAAGGAACTGCAAAGGCCTTGGCAAGGTAAATAGAGGGAACTACATCCCAGACCACTGAACCTGACATGCTGACTTTCTCACTACTTGTTGATGTAAAAAATCCTTCTTTCTGTTTCAAAACTGTAGAATGCATAGATTTTCACATTTTTGGTTTTTTGGGGGTTTTTTTTATCATCTGATTTAAAGCTTATGGCAGTTAATTGTGTTTTCAATGAACACTAATATGCAGAGCATTGAATTGGAATGAATCATACAGAAAAACAGGACTATTGCATGGGCTCTGGTTTTTTGCTTGCTTGTTTAAAGTGAAACAAATTGGAGAACTGTGGCTCTCATTATGCTTCTTTGTTATTTGCATCCATAAGTAAATAGTAATTATGGAACAGAGTGGAATTATAGAATACATTCTCGTTATTCTCCTTATATATCATCTTGTGGCTGGAATATTAAAATTATAGAAACAGATTTCCAGTTTAAAAAATATATATATATAACTAATCAAATATTTGTTAATTCCACTGACAGCTGTCTCCTGGAGGGCTTGGGCAAAACCTTGGGCAGGTTATTTCTACAAACACTACCAACTGCTCTTTTCTCTATGATTCAGGAGAACTCTGCTCTCTCAGACACACCCAGAACAAATTTCCAAGTGTCCACCTCTAATTCTGAAAGAATAAGGTTTTTTCATGTTTGAAAGTGAAAAATCTGAATAAATGGCAGACATCTTAGTTCCAAAATTGTGCCTTTATATTCACAAACTCATATGAGCAGGTTACGTTACACTGCAGGCTTGCTACCCAGTCAGAGATGCGCATTGCAAAGGTGCAGGGGCAAGGTGGTCTCTTACTTTGCTCACGTTCCATTTCACACAAGTGGCCAAGCACTGAAGTACATGATGCATGGCCTGAATCAATAGCAAAAGAGTGACTGCTAAATGCTTCACCACACCAGGATCTCAGGATGTTATTTTATGTGAGGGAGAAATAACATACCTCTGTCCTTCTCTCAGCAGGCAAGGTACCTGAGTCAGATCATTGTTTTTCATAAAGAAACATCACAGGTTTGAAATACTAATCGCTAGCACGCTAAACACTTAGTGCTTGCTCCTGATATAAGTCAGCAGAGTAATATCAGTACTCAAGGACATGCTCATGAGGGAGCAGCTACCAGTCCCTACAATGCAGCCAGGGATGCAGGCTCCACCCAAGCACCTGCCATACCCAGAGGTGCTCCCGCAGAAGCAGGATTACCTGCACACAAGCAGGACACCCATTATATTAGCATTAGTGATTTCTGTACGGCTGACACTATCCATTGCAGTCTTACACAGCACCTGGGTCTCCACTGAAATCAGCTAGAGATGGCCTTTGCTTTCCTGCAGATCTGTAGCTGTGCTTTCATCTTCTGTCTCTAATTAAGAAATGCAGCTAGTGACTCTGGCTACCTCAGTCATCTTTACTAACATTTTCCTCCTCTATCTCACCCTCTTCTTATGCTCTTGTCTGACACTTGACAGCAGCTGTTCTGTATCAGTGAGTATTCTCTGTCAGAGCACAAAATATTCCTTATAAAAAGAGAGAATCGTGCAAATAGCAAGCCCACACACAAACAGATTTATAGAAAATTCCAGTCAAATGTGGTAGCACTGATAAACTCACGACACTTTATCTGCATATTTATAATGAGTAAATACAAACAAAAAGCCAACTTATGAGGCTCCAACCCATTGCATAGTAATGGGGAGATCTTGCCAGTACCTAATTCTGTACTGTGTCTTACCCTGCACTTCCAGTTTCATTGCTTTGGTGGAAAATATAAAGTACTCATGAAGAAAACCTTGCTATACTTGGCCTAAAAATGTTGTGGAAATAATCTCAAAAATGGTTTGCAAGGTAAAAGTAACATTTGAAAACACGTATAAAGATGTGCAAGCTAGAATATTTTTTCAGGTGGGAGGTGCCATTAAAACATGGTACTATTTATATTCCCCTAGTGTATTTTATTTTTCCTAGAGTTTAGAAATAAAAAACAACAAATAGAATTACTGCATTTCAGAAAGTTTTAAGTTCCAAGATAGTGCATGAGGCAATGTGCAAGAATGCCTTCCTCTTAGGCTCACTCATAGCAAGTGAGAAACAGGAACTTCTAGCAGGTAAAACTGGTCATGCAATCTAGGCTGCATCACAGAAACCTAGGCAACAAACAAGTATCACAACACTGGTTCAGAAAAAGCGAACGCTCAAAAAGTAGGTAAAAATACTTTGACATTTTAAAAATTAAATATTAATTAGAAAATGTGAAGTAGAAAGAACCATTACATACTTTTTCTTTTATAAAAGTAGAGAAAGGATTTTTGCACTTTTTTTAATATACTCATGTTATTTACTACATACATCTGCCTGATGTTTCTATCCTTGAAGAACTGAAAGAAAGTAATAGGTTGGATTTTCAGCATTTAATTACATCTACTAATAGCCATTCTGACATACAGAGGTAGGGCTGGTAATGAATGAGAAGCTTGAGGACAGCCGTGGCTGCAGCGACCATGAAAATGTGGAGTTTGAAATCCTTAGGGTCTGAGGAGGGTGCGTAGCAAGCCTGTTAGCCTGGACTTCAAGAGAGTGGATTTTGGCCTCTTCAGGGGTCTGCTTGGTAGAATAACATGGGATAAAGCCCTGGAGAGAAGAAGGGCTGAGTAAAGCTGGTTAATATTTAAAGATCACCTCCTGCAAGCTCAGGAGCGATGCTTCCCAACAGAGTAAGGCAGTCAAAAAGCCAGAAGGCCTGGATGGATGAACAACAAGCTCTTGGACAAACTCCAACACAAGAAGGAAGCCTACAGAGGGTAGACAGCAGCCTTCCAGTACCTAAAGGGGGCCTACAAGAAACCTGGACAGTGACTTTTTACAAGGGCATGTAGTGACAGGACAAGGGGAAATGGAGAGAGACCCCACCTGTAGTCCTACATTCAGCTCTGGGGCCCCCAGCACGAGAAGTGTGTGGATCTGTTGGAGTGAGGCCACAAAGATGCTCAGAGGGGTGGAGCACCTGTTCTTTGGAGACAGGCTGAGAAAGATGGGTTTGTTCAGCCTGCAGAAGAGAAGGCTCAAGGGAGACATTAGAGCACCCTTCCAATGCTTAAAGGGGCCTACAGGAAAGCTGGAGAGGGACATTTTACAAGGTCATGTAGGAACAGGACAAGAGGGAATGGCTTTAAGTTGACAGAGGGTAGATTTAGGTTAGATATTAAGAAGTTCTTTCCTATGAGGGTGGTGAGGTTGCCCAAAGAAGCTCTTTCTGCCCCATCCCTGGCAGTGTTCAAGGTCAGGCTGGACAGGGCTTGGAGCGACCTGGTATAGTGGAAGG